CTCCTTCGCCAGAAGGGACGGCAGAAAGGAGGAGAGAGAGGGCAGCTGTAAGGAGAGAAGCCTTGACCTTGATTGATAGGCACCTAGCAGCTTATGCCCTGGAGCATCCAGACCTGGAAGAGCCAGCACCTGCTGAGCTGCGCCGGGAGCTGTGCCAACCTGAGAAGGAAATGGAAGCAGAAATCCCGAAGAGGGTCGACCTCCGCACAAGGGAAAGGGCGCCAGCCGGAGAAACGGCTGAAGAAAAGAGGGMGAGAAGAACAAGACGGATAAATGAGATATGGCAAGAGAGGCAGAGATTGGAGGCGACGGGGGAGCTCCCGGAGCAGCAGCAGGAGAGGCAGAGATCAGAGGCAGCAGGAGCACTCCCGGGTCAGCCACCCAGCGTACCAGCTAGGGCCCCGGAGATTCCTGAGACGTGGAGAGACTTCTGGGAGCAGAGAGGAGAGGAGCTTCCATCGCCAGTCAGAGCCGGGTTTGGGATAGCCAGGAAGGCAGAAGAGAGGTTAGATCGTAAAATCAAGTTCCTGGCCAAGACCACTTTTGACCGGCACTTGTTATTGGAGAGCGATCTGACGGGGAAGAAGATGAAGGARGTAAGCCATGGAGTACGCCTGGAGGCTATGGAGATGGAAATTCAGGAACTCAGGACCTTGGTGGCCAGCCAGGCAGCTATCATCGAGAGCCTGAGGCAGCAAACCTAGGAGAGGGTGGACAGGCCAGAGAGCAGCAGGCAAGGAGAGCAGAGGCAGCCGGGACAGGAATTGCCAGGACAGCCGCCTACAGCAGAGCCTCGCCAGGAGCCACCTATGGGGAGAGCTATCCTGGAGCCAGAGGAGGCGAGAGCCCAGAGACAGGCAGAGAGAGAGGCGTTCGAGTTTAGAGCCCCTACTGAGCTTGCGACGCTGCCAGTAGCCGCGTCAGGCCCAGTCGTACCTTTGGCAGTAGGGGAGGGGCCGCAACCATCTAGCAGTGAGCCGGCTCAGGGCTCAGCAGAGGGATTCATGGGCGTGCTCCTTGAGGCGATGCATACTACGCAGGAGGAAGTGAATTTTTTTTCACCTGGGCAGAGGATAGAGGAGCCTCTTGAGAGAGAGAAGGGGATTAAGGCGGAGGGTGTCGTAGAGAGCAGACTTCAGAGGATGGGCACACCTGAGTATGGACCAGAGGAGGTTGAGGAGCAGCCTATAACAGTGTCAGGAGAGACACTCGAGAGGAGGCCTCAGAGGTTGGACTTGCCTAAGTACGTCCCAGCGACAGGGGATTTGAGGAGTAGACTGAGATCTTGGGCTACTGGATCTGAATCTGGGGGACCGGTTCCTGGGACGGAGCAGCAGGAAGTCGTTAGTACCA